AACATGGCCGTGGCGTGCGCACCATGCGCCGCCTACGACGTTAAGCCGTTTCTCGACCAAACATGCTTTTCTCTCGGCAATCAACACATAACTGATCAAGAAATAATATTTATTGAATAAATTGACATGAATGCTCGATAGACTATTACTTAACATAATCGCTACGCATGAACGACCCGTGGTGTGCGCTACGTGCGCGACTACGCTCCTCGGCCAATTCAATGATTAAACGTAAAAACTCTTCGAGCAACATGAGCTGACTGAACATGATATAGCATAAAATGACTGAATACATGAAGTTTGCTCGAGAATTTGAATTAAAACATGACATGCTCGATATGGACTATACGCACGGCGAACGCAACTTAAGGCCAATACTTGAAATCGGTTAACATGATATAAGCTGAACATGATGCTACTAATTTAGACAAGAAAATATCCCAAGCAATTACCTCTCCTCTTGCTCGGCTGACTGAACAAACGCTCGATTACTCGGAGTTCAAGCCTCCGTGCGTGCGTGCGTCTCTCGCGTACGGTGCGATGCGACTAAGCTACTTGCGTGCTTGACGAACTAAAGTAAGCTCTCACTTCTCTCTATACTTAGTGCATATATAATAAGGGATGTAGGGAGAGCAAAATTCTCCCTAACATATGCTTATATACATGACTGAAAAAAAAGTGGTGAGGTGTAGGCTTGGTGTCACCTTAATTTTATGCCACTTGCTACAAGCTTGGAGACTTAGAATGCTTACTCATCTAATCATGAAGGTTAGTCATCACTTTGCACTTAAAAGTGTGACACCTCATGCTTAGCAAGGAAACCAATTCTCCCAAAAATGGTTACAAAATAGCTCACGACATTTTGATGGAATTTGAGAAAAATTATATTAAATGCTACTGCCTTTAAATTAGGGCAACATAATTAAGCATAATTAAATGCTTAATTATTTAATTAGACATGATACTTAATTACCAAAATTATTCCGAACGTAAACGTAACTTCGAAAATAATTTCGGGTAATCTCGACTGAAATAATTTAATTCCGAAAAATAATACTCGACAATATTATTATATCAGAACTAAATACATGATTTATATAATTAACATGACGGGATATTACACGGGCTAGGACACTCACACTTGCAATATTCATTCTTATCTCTTATGTAGCGTGTTCACATTAATTTACCTTATTAAACAGTCTAATTGTGTGACCAACTCGGCTCCCTACGAACCAGGTTGCTCTAATCTTCTGCGCTTGGATTTTGTCTCTTTGGTTAATTACTGTATACTCTTAGTCTGTAAGATATAAATAGACACGTGCATATAATAACAAACTAGATTTCGGTTATTTATTGTATACTCTTAAGCCGTAAGATCTAAACATGCAAGTGTATACACTAGCTATTACTTTGATTTACTAAAATGTGAGACTCATTCTGTTGAGTCACTAAACTGATGTGTTTTGGGTAGTGATGTTGTGTGTATGACATGTTGTTCGAATATTTACGGTCTCCGTGTGCGATAATCTGACGATGTCACTGAGATGAACACAAGAAGGATTATAATTTTGTATTCATATCCATATATATGTATTACTCAGAAAAAAAATATATAAATAGACTATAAACCTTTTTCCTCTTGTACTTCTACATAAATAAATATTTTTATTATATATAAAGTTCATTACTTATTGGCCATATTATCAATTTTTTAGATATAAAAAAAACTAACTAATCATTTTAAATATTTGTTAACTTTAGAAATCATAATGAGCATATAAAACTATAATTTTTTTTTTTATATAAATTATCAATTTTTTTGGATATAAAAAAAACTAACTAAACATTTTAAATATTTTTTGGACTTAACAATCATAATGGCAGAAATTCGATGGTGCCACATGTGGCACATGTTATGGTGCCACAACATGATGTGACACATTATGATTGGTGCCACAACATGATGTGTGATAGTTGTGGCACCAATCATAATGTGCCACATCATGTTGTGACACCATAATACGGTGCCACATGTGGCACCATAGAATTTCTGATCATAATGGGCATATAAAACTATAAAAACATTTTTCTTTATATATTTATATGAAATATTTTGTCATAATTTGTTTATATATATTTTAGATCACCATTAGTTGAATTGATTTTTTAATTTTATTAGTGCAAGATTTTTATGGTTAGAATATATCATAACAATACTTTTACTAAATGATACTTTTTCTTTTTTTTTTTTTTTTTTTTTTATTTCATTTTAAATCCTTTCAAAAACTAAAAGAAAACAAATATCACATTTTCCTTTAGCTTAATGCATTTTTTGAAAAATTTTAAAAAGTGAAATAACATCTTAAAATTAATTAAAATATAAACTAAAAAGAAAATTTTCAACTAACAATATATAGAACTTTACAATTTTATTGTGTATCATGTTTATCAACATGGATCACAATAATGTATTTGTTTTAAAAATAACTAACAAAAAAAATAA